TGAGTTCTTGACAGGATGCGTGCAGTTTGGCTCATCTGCCAGGCTATTCTTCCACCTCTTTCTCCCCCAAGGCCAGACGTGGGGTGAGGTGGGGAGAAGGCAGGAACCTCAGCAGTAGCAGCAGCGGCCGGCAGCAGCAGGCCAGGAGCCCGCTGCTGACAGAGTGTCTGGCTTCAAATTACACAGTCTCAGAGCTCGGGCATAAAATTAGCAGCAGTGTTCTGCGTATGAGGAGCCAGAGAAATATTCCTATTCAGCAGAACCATAGACGAGGAGAGAAGAGCGGGGGAGGCGCAGCAAGCTGCCCCTCTCCTCAGTCCCGGACCCCTCCATGGACACCATGTTCCCCCGCTGCAGATGTGGCGGCAGTGACAGAACCGGGCTGCAGGAGGCCTCTTGTGGGGGAGGAGACTGACCATCTTCCTCTTGTAAAGCAAGTGGTGGATTTGAACTGCTCATCCTTGGGTTACTTGCAGAACACACAACACTCTGTCACTAGAGCTCCTTAAGGGAAGGTTAAGACTTGGAGCAACCAGAAAGATGAACTCTGGGACCTTGGCCTCTCAGACCCGGCATGTACAGAACCTGCCACTCCCTCCACCTTTTCTGCTGTCTCTCTCTCTCTCTCTCTCTCTCTCTCTCACACACACACACACACACACACCTCTCTAGAAATGAGACTACTGCTCATTTATTGCCGTTGATTCAGGGCTGATTCACAGCTGACTCTCCAATGGATTTTTGGAGGTTGTAAGTTGCATATGAGAGATTACCCAGCTTTCTCCGGTGGATTTGAATCCCAGAGGGGTGCTCACTGTGGGTTACCCACCCAGTGCTCCATGGACTACACCACCAGGCCTCCCTAAACAAGGACAAGAACAAGGCATGTCCATGCGCCTAGGCACTTTTCCATCAATACTTACCTTTACACACTTGTTACAGGGAGCTCTGATGTTGTAGCTCACAACTTATCAGACTATGAGTAGAAATCATCTTGACACTAACTGGTTTGGTTTAAGTTTCAGCTGTTTATACCTATGTTCCATATGGTCCCTGATAAAGACACCTAACACACTTGGCTGCTAATGGAAAGGTTGGGTCTTTGAGTCCACCCAGAGGCACCACAGAAGAAAGGCCTGGTGGCCTACTTCTGAAAAAGCTTCATTGGAACTCGAGGGAATACAGTTCTGCCCCGAGATGCACGAGATCCACTTGACTCAGTTGACTTGGTGGCCCCTGATCATGGCGATGATTTGTAGCTGAGTAAAGAAGGGACCAACAAAGTGCACAGATCTTTTCCAAGTTTCCAAGTCCATTTGTCTATGAATTTATCCTCACCCTAACTAGACATCTACATTCTCTCATGGTGTTACAACCCTGCTCATCACTCACAGACACGATCATAACACTGTCACACTTGCCTACATGTAGTTGTATGTTTTTATACACAAGTAGGTCTTTTCAATGATGCACATATGTCAGCATGGTAGCACATTTTCTCACTAAACTTATTTTGTCACTTCCTGATCAGTTCTAGACCTCTTCCTCTGTCATGGCTAAGTGCTTGCACTTCCTGACACAGCCACCGGTCATACCCTGTCCTTTAGCTTATCAATTCATTGTTATCCTCAAGACGAGGGGGCTGGGGATTCCAACGACTGGACCCACACCATCATCTGTATTATTTCCAGCTCTTCAGGTGTGAATTCTGCTGTGCAGAGCGTCTGTAAGCTGTTTCCCATACTGTAGGAGTTCCTGATAGGTTTTATAATTTTGGTCTATGAGCTCATGGGGCAGTTTTGTTGGGTCCCCTGCAGACTCACTGACTCCAAACTATTTTTATGTAGTGCTTCAGCTTGGGATTTCTGCACCGCGTGGGAAGCTTATATATGGACCTCACACCCGTCCATGTTTCAGACTTAAGGATCCAACTCGGTGTACTATCCCTTGTTACTTACACCCCTGGCCTCAGAGAGCTGCCCAGTTCCTGCAATCACACCAGGCTGACAGCTAAGAAATTCTGTTCTCCTAATCACCTCTGACACCTGGCTTCCCACCAGGAACTTAGATTTGACTGTCTGCCAACAACAGACTTGCAGCCTGAACCTAATTCCTAAATTGGTGTTATAATCTCAGCACCTACAGCTCCCAGCCATCATTGGTCTCCTCATGGGAAGTGGGATTTCACTGGTATGAATTCCTGTTCCTTCTCTTAGAACCTGGAAGTTATACACTCTTGCTTTTGACCTTGGCTCAGAATGTTGAAATGTAACCCATGTTAATGTTTGGAGCAGGATAGGAACGTTAGCTTCCATGCACTCTGCCATGTCGGTGCATCTCTGTGTCTCATACTTACTTCTTGCTCAATAACTGGCTGTTGCTGGTCTGTCTACATCGTTGCCTGTGCTTGTTCCCTCCTGTCCTGCTCCAGTTCTGTCCCAAAGAAGACACTGTGTTTGTGGCCCTGGCCCAGCTGAGGTATGAAGCGAGAGAGATCCTCAATGGGCCAGGACTGTGGGCCGGGCCCAGAACGTGTCCCGTGATGGGGACTCTGGCTCCGCCCTGAGCTCTATTTGGGGCAGAAGGTCCCTCGGGGTGGCTGAGTGGAGCAGAGATGAGGTTCCGAGGTGAGGTCGGGCCTGAGGCTGTGCTGCTCTCTCCCTTTTCCTTCTCGGGGTCATTCAGCCCTAAGAATCTGGAGAGTGACTCCCGTTCCCAGTGTCCGTGCTGGGAGGTGAGAGTGGGGACCCTGGCTCCAGGCTTCATCTAGCTGGCTCTGTCCCCACATTCCCCTGGCCCAGTCCTGAGGGTCCCTGTGTGGCATGGGTTTGGGGCAAGCTGGAGGAAGTCACATTATCTGGACGCTTATGGACCTGAAGTCAGGGTCCTTCCTCATCACTGCCCTTTCTCTACTGACTTCTTGTTTGCAATGGCTGTGTGAGTGTATATACTTGTGAGCGTGAGTGCAAGTATGGGTATGGACGTGCAGGTGAGTGGGTGTGTTATTGTGCAAGTGTGTGAGTACTGATACAGAATTTCTTAGCTGCCAGCCTGGTGTGATTGCAGGAATTAGGCATGTGTGTTGTGCATGGGATTGCGTATAATGAGTAGAGTATGTATCTGTGTGTGTGTGTGTATGTGTGTGTGATGAGCATGGGCAAATGTGCATGTGTGAGTCTGAACATGAATGTGTCAGCGTGAGGACTGAGAACACGTGTGTATGGGTAAGTGTGAATATGCATTTGAGTGTGTGTATTGATGTGAGTTTGACATGAGTATGAGTGAGCGTGCGTAAGCGTATGTCTGTGTCGATGTGTGAGGTACGTGGACATGAATGCACACACACGAGTGTGTAGGATTATGAATATATATGTGCATGTGTGTGTATGCATCTAAATATGTACGTGTGTGTGCGGTGACAATGGTGCATGTGTGCACGTGTGTGTATAAATATATATGAGTGTGAATAAGTGAGAACAAGTACAACTGTGAGGAGAAGCGGTCATCTGTGATGCGTGTGAACACATGTGTGCAAGTGGGCACAGGCGTGTGTGATGAGTGTGCGTTGACCTGCTCGAGGTCTCTGGGGGTGTCTGTGCCACCTCTTTGCCCACGCCTCCTTGGGTTGCTTCCCTCTGAGCCAAGCACCACAGGTGTGAGACGGAGCCCTTCATTCACACATCAAACACTGGCTGAGCCCTCGCAATGAGCCTGACATTGTGCTGGTGGAGGGAGGGAGCAGCTAAAAAGAAAAATGCACAAACTTGTGGTCGCTGTGAAGCTGAACACTGTGACACTGATGTGTCAAATATGTTAATGGCTACTCATGGTGGATAGGGTTTGGTGGAGCTCCTCGATTAAAACAAGCTTGGAAGCAGGAGTGGCACCTACTCCCGAAATACCTTGCCTATGAACCTGGAGAAAGGATGAAAGTCACACAAGTGTTGAGGACTTTTGTACATAGGGTCACTATGAGTCGCCTACGACTCGATGGCACTTAACAACAATAACAACAATACTTCTGAGTGTACTGAAATAAAAGGGCCAGGACCTGAAGGAGCACATAATGGGGAGAGGTGATTGTAGGGAGAGGGGTCAGCGAAGATCTCTGTTGAGAACAAGCTCTGAGCCAAGCTATAAAGGGGGACAGGAAGGAGCTTTCCAGCTGACCGAGCAGGATATATGAAAATCCTAAATGTTTTAGAAATGGAAAGAAGGTGGGTGTGAGAAGGAGGGGGTGCAGGTGAGGAAGCTGCTGGACGTGAGAGGCTGCTGGGACAAGAAGTGTGCCCTTCCCCTAAGAGCAGAGTGGAATGGTGGGAGGGTTTGCAGACAGAAGCAGCGTGTGCAGGCGCGGCATGGCCGCAGCCCTGTGGAGAGCGCGGGTCTGCAGAGAGGAGGTACACACAGGGCAGAGCTCTGGGCCAGGGCTTGACAGTATAACTCAACCTCCATCCAACAGGTGTCTATGAACATTAACTCTCCGAGAGCTGTTGGCAGAGCCAGGAGGACTTCCTAGAAGAGGTGGCATTGGAGCAGACCTTAAGGAATGGCAAGCAAACAAGAAACCAGGCTGCTAAGCCTAGGACACAGCCTGCAAGAAAGTTTGACAGGAAAGGGGTGCAGGGTGGGCTTGGTGAAGAAGGGAAATGACTCTCAAGGTGACAGTCCTCTGGGTGACTGAGTCAGGCACCACCACTGAGGAAATGTCTAAAGTCCAAGGTCAGTGGACTCCTGTAAGGCCAGCTCCCAAGGGAGACACTTCCCCCAATGTCTGTGGCCGGGGTTGGGTAAGAGGAAGTAAAGGCTAGGCCCGAGGCTGGAGGAGGAGCCCCTTCTCAAATTGAGAGACAGGGGTGGGGCCTCCCCAAAGGCAGCTGCTGGGGACTCCCAGGACCAAAGGCTGAGCCACAGGGGGCTGTTGGGAAACCAGAGTGGAACTCAGCTTGGGCTGGGGGGGGGCGAGGCTTTCTGCCACCTGCTCTCACAGACTGACCGCCATGAGCCAAGCCCAGCAGCTCCGGGCTGAGAGGTGAGTGCTGGGCACTGTTTTCCCGGGACTTCCTCCACCCTGTTCCCAAAAGGCCTTGAGGAGGCATGTCCCTCCAGTCCCCACCCCACCTTTATTCTTTGTTAAAGTCAGGAAGTGAAAGGCCTGGTGTGAGTCAGAACCCTAATACTTAGAAATACTCAGAAATGGAGACTTCCAGAATTGCTTTCAGGAACCTTCGAGAAGTGGCTCACCTCCCTCGGGTACAGATGAGGGTGGGGTGAGGTTGTCGGCCAGATCCAAGCCCCACGAAAGACCTCTCCCCCACATGCGCTCACTGGGACTAGGCCAGACACGCGGCTGGAAACTTCGAGAGTCAGCAGCTATTTGGGGCCTGTGACACTTCCTGTTTTTCAGGAGGGACTGGGGGGTCAGTGAGCCTTAAGTGTGCTGCCTCTCAACAGTTCCAGTTCCTGTCCCATCTGGGCCACCTCTGACCCTCAGAGGGGAAGGCTTCCATCCTCACCCTGTACAGGGCCCTGGAGCAAGTTCCTAATGGTCTTTGACCTCCTCGCTATGCTCCAGGGCCTTCTGTGGAAACCAGCTGGCCAGCTGTTCCACCGAGGACATCTTCTACAAAGCAGGGTCTCAGAAGAAGCCTGAGGTGTCCAAAGACGCAAGGAGCTGCCCCAGAAGTTGTGGGTTCAGTTTTAATACACATGTTTTGAGCACCCTCCATGTATCAGGTGCCGTGGAAATGTGAACTCTTTGCCCTCTGCCAACCCCTGTCTCCTCCAGTCTGGGTGCCTAGGACTGATTTCACAGACGTCACGAGGACATTATAAGCCCCAAGCACTCTGCCTGGGCCTGAGTCTGCTTCAGTCCCAGCAGGCCGCCAAGCCTTTTTCACACTGCACCCCAAAGGGAGGAGGAGAAAAAGAGTTTCCACAGAGGCTACTCAAATGCATGGTGACCCCAGATGTGTCTGAGTAAAACCGTGTTCTCCGAGGGTTTTAATGGCTGGTTTTTAAAAAAATAGATTGTCAGGCTTTTCTTCCGAGGTGCATCTGGGTATACTGGAACCTTTTTATTAGCAGCTGCCCACGTTAACTCTCTGCACCCCAGGGGGCTCCATCTCCAGAGAGAAGGCGGTGGTGGCAGCGGCCGTTTGCTGAGCACCTTCTCTGACCCTTTACGAGGTGACCTGACCCAGTGACTAGTGGACGTGATCAGGCAAGGGTTTGTTGTTCATGGGGCCATGACACGTTATAGTCGATTCTACGGCAACTAACAACAAACTATGTGCAGACATTGTCCTGGGTCCAGGGGACACGGCAATAACCTGGTTGTGTGGAGATCTGAGGCTTGCCCTGGCTCCAGACGTGACCTCATCACTGCCCACAGCTATGAGCACTTACGTTGTCCATGTCACAGAGCAGAGGTAGTAGCGGTCACGGAGGAAGCTTTGCAGGCCCTGCTGGTTGGGACAGAATGACACCAACAGATAGGTCTTGGAGAAGGTGCAGTCAGAGTGCCCCATGGAAGCAAAAATGGTGAAACTTCATCTCACATACTTTGGGCATGTTTTGTTGTTGTTGTTGTTAAGTGCCGTTGAGTCATAGGCGACTCATAGCGACCCTATGAACAAAAATCCTCAACACTTGTGTGACTTTCATCCTTTCTCCAGGTTCATAGAGTTTTTGGAGGCAAGTTACTATGGAAGTGATTGCCACTCCTGCTTCTAAGCTTGTTTTAATTGGGAAGCTCCACCAAACACTGTCCAGCATTGGTAACAAACATCAGTGTCACAGTGTTCAGCTTCCCAGCAACCACAAGTTACCTCTATATGGCGAGTGGACACACCAGGGTTATACGGCCTAGAAGAATGTTTGGGCGTGTTTTAGGAGAGACTATTCTTGGACATTGTTCTTGAAAAGGTGGAGAGTCAGAGAAGGACAGGAAGACACTCACTGAGATAGATTGACACGGTGGCTGCAGCGATGGGCTCAGGTGTACCCAAGACTGTCAGGATGATACAGGATAAGACAAGAGCTCAGATCTGCTGTTCATAGGGTTGCTATGAGTTGTACACGATTCAATGGCACCTAACAACAGTTACCTGGTGCTGCCTGGCCATTCAGTACACAAAGCTGGACATGTCCTCAGCCCTTTTGTCCCCTGCCACCCATGGGGGGCGGGGAAGGAGGTCGAGGTCCCCCGGTGAGGCACCATGCCCCTCCGACAGTGGACCCTGACTTTCTCACTGGCTCTTTCATCGCTTCCCACCTCTTGCTCTGACCACAGTCAACATCCCTTCAGATCCTCAAACTTGACCCTTGCACAGCTATGGGTTTCCCTACTAGCTGGCCCCTCTGCCTTTACTATCACCATCGAGTCTGCATTCCCAGATGACTACTGCTGTCACTTCCTCATGGAAGCCCTCCCTGACTACCTACCTTCCCTTGGGCAGACTCCACTGCGTGCTCTCACGTCACTGTTGCTTCCCTGTCTGGTAGTGCTGGTCCTGCAATCCTACAGGTATCGGCTTGCCAATCTCTCTTGCCCACTGCATCACTGAGTCTTTTTTTAAAAATTTATTTTATTTTTTTATTTTGTGTGTGTGTGTGTACTGTCAGATGGGATCTGACTGGTACGGAAGGAGATCATTCCTCCTTCAGCAGAGCATCTGGTGGGTTCGAACCGCGCAGCTCTTGGGATTGCAGTGCAGCTTCTTACCACTACATCACCAGAGCTCCCTACATCACTGAGTCTTTGCAGGAGTGGAGTGTGCTCAGGTGCCTGCTGTAGCTCGAAGCATTCTGTGCTTTGCTTTTAAGGCATTTGCTGTGTACCATCGATCGAGTTGGAACGGACCCATAGCGGACCCTCCAGCAGGTTTCATTTTGTGGGAGGAGATCGCTCATCTTCGTCTCACAGAGCAGCCCATGGGTTCAAACTGTGCTTGGAGCATTGATGAGTGAGTGGTGCAATCCTCTCGCCCTCCATGTTGGAGCCTTGTCTTTGATTCCTGGACAACAGCTCACATACAGTCACCATGCTCCCAGTGGGGGCTCGTGTGCTGTTATTATGCCTAGAGCATCCAGACTAATACAGACCACGAGGAAAGGCCTGGAAATCTACTCTTGAAAATCAGCAAATAAAAACCCTATCCAGTCTGCAATTGATTACGGGGATGGTGCAAGACCAGCGGTGTTCTGTTGTACTGTGTGTGGGGTCGCCACAGGGCAAAGGCCAACTTGTCAGCAGCTGAAACAGCACAGCACTGATGGGCTTCAAGCCCAGCTCATGCACTCAACTGAGACCCAGGAGGGCAGAAGCCGTGTTCAAAGTGCCAAGAACAATGGGTTCTCTGTAAGATCAACTATTATTGTTATTATTTCAGATAGGGAAACTGAGACTGTGAAGCCCTAGAATTACTGTCTCAGGGTTAAGAACAAAACTATGGAGGCAGACTGTTAGGGTTCAAATCTTACTTCACCTGGACCAGTTAGCTGATATCTCTGTGCTTCAGTTTCTTATCTGTGGAAAAAATGACACTATCTTAGAAGGAGAAAGCAGCCCTGGTGGCACAATGACTAAGGCATTCAGATGCTAACCTGAAGCATTTGGTCAGCCTTCATCATGACTCAAGCCGCAGCTTCCCTGCTCAGAGCACATCCACTCTCCCACCCCCACCCTCTTCCTTCCTGCCCACCCCTGTCCAGTTACACAGAAATAGTGTCTTCCGGGGTCAGGAGGTAATGGGAAATGGAGCATGTCCCTTGGGTGTCATGACTGGGCCTGGTGTGGAAAGTGAGCAGGGAGGTTGTCAGAGGCTCAGAGACGGGCAGGGGGTTTCCTCGGCCTGCCCTCGGCCATCCTGAGTCACAGTCTCCTGAGGCTGGTTCAGCCTGTGACCTAGCTGACCTGGAGGGTGGTATGATGCGGGGGTCCAAGGTGTCTAGGAACCTCACAATAGGCTCCCTTGAGGCCCTGCCGTGGAGGTGCTCTTGCTTCCCCACCCCTGCCCCCAGTCACATTAGCAGACGTGTCCCCATTGCTTCTCGTTTCCTCATCTCTCTTCAGGTAGCTGTACTGGGGCCCCGGCTGTGGCTGCTCCTGTTTCCGGCCATCTGTCGCTGTCTTCCCACCTGTCTTTCTCTGCTCCCCTCTCTCCACTGTTCTACTCAAGGGTCTTCACCACAGCCAGATACAATGCACAAGCTTTTGCCATCAAGTTAATTCTGACTCATGGCAACCCCTACAGGACAGTGTAGAACTGCCCCATAGGCTTGCAGTTTTCAAAGCTGTAATTTTTTTAACTGTAAAAAACATGTGTGGGGATCTAAGGGAGTAAGGGTTGGGAGCAGAAAGTGCGGATGGGTAGGGACGAAATCACAGGGTTGCACAATTTGGTGGGTGGAGGAATTGGGTGAAGGAAATGAGACAGATCCGGCGGGGACCAGAAAAGACAGGGTAATGGTGGACATAGTCCAATGGTGATTAATATTTCTTTACAAAGATATTGTAAAGATTCTGCTGAAAATTATCCAAAAACGACTGGAGCAATATGTCAACAGAGAAGTGCCAAATGTGCAGGCTGAATTTAGAAGAGGTCGTGGTACTAGGGATATTATAGCTAATGTTAGATGGCTCTTGGCAGAAAGCAGAGAATACCAGAAGAATGTCTATCTGTGCTTCATTGACTATGCAAAGGCTTTTGACTGTGTG